ATTGAGGCAGGATACCAGTGGTGGGGGTACAAGCAGAGGTAGGAGTCGACCTAGTAGCTCACTGGGGGTCAGAAGGAAGAGTGAAGTCAAGAAGAAACGCACATCTCCCTCTATGAAAATAGCGGATGCAATTAGCAAGATTGCTGAAACAAATACTTCTGAGGCCGAGCGTGGAAATGAGGTCATTTCACGAGCAGAAGCTAGAAGGTTGGAAGAAGAAGCGCGTGCTTATAAGGTTTCAATTAGGGGAGTCCTGTCTCACCTGAAAACAGTTCCTGAAGTTGTCAGTAATCCTGATTTCTTTAGACGGTGCACACAACTCCTTATGGAACGGCAGGATGCACGAGAAATGTATGCAGCTCTGAAGGATCAGAAGGAACAGCTTCTACTCATTTTAGAGCATTTTACTAGGGATTTATGACTTGTTTATTATATTAGACAGTTCCATATGTGTATGTTTTATGTGACCAGTGGATTGTTATATGAATCAGACAACTCTGTAACTTTTATAAATGTTTCGTAATTTCTACGTAGGAATTCTAAACTTTATGTGTATGTGCACAGGATAAAACGAATATGGATGATGAAATTAAACATGTGGAAGAGCATGCTAAGGGACGGAAAAAAAGAGTTAACAAAGTTGCAGCATTGGTTGGTGCATACGCTACTTTGAACTTGTGTAAGGAGCCTCGGCATACAAGTGCTTATACAGGCTGCATATGGGTAAGGGATGTTTTAGATGGCAACTCCAGTCGTTGTTATAACATGTTTAGGATGGAACGGGATGTGTTCTTAAGTCTGGTGGAACAATTGCAACAACATGGTCTAAAAGAAACTAAAAATATAGGGATACATGAATCAGTTGCAATGTTTTTACATACCGTTGGGCATGCACTTAGTAGCAGAATGCAGCAAGAAAGATTTCAACATTCAGGGGAGACAATTAGCAGACACTTTCATAATGTCCTAATGGCATGCTGTAGACTTGCCATGTCTAATATCAAACCAAAAGATCCAACATTCCGGCATGTTCATACAAAAATTCGGTTTGGTAAATACTGGCCTTTTTTTAAACATGCTATTGGAGCAATTGATGGCACACATGTTTCCTGCGTTGTCAGTGCAACAGATCAAACTAAATTTATCTCTAGGAAAGGAACAGTGTCACAAAATGTCATGGCGGTTTGTGATTGGGACATGTGTTTTACTTTTGTCTTGGCCGGATGGGAAGGTAGCGCACATGATGCTCGGATATTTGATCATGCCCTCACAACTCCTTCAATGAACTTTCCCCATCCACCTGAAGGTATTTTTTTATTTCCTATATTTTTTTTTATATTTAGCTTAACAATAGAAACATAATTTACAATAATTTCATTTTTTATATAGGAAAATATTATTTGGTGGATGCTGGATACCCAACACCGAATGGATATCTCGGCCCATACAGACGGGAGCGTTACCATTTGCCTGATTTTCGAAGGACATCTGGGTTTGAAAATGACAATGAAATCTTTAATTATTTCCATTCAAGTTTAAGGAGTACAATTGAAAGAACTTTCGGAGTTTGGAAAAAAAAGTTCGCAATCTTACAAAACATGCCATCTTATGATTTTGAAACACAAGTTAAAATCGTTTGTGCAACGATGGCTATACATAATTTTATTAGAACGACATCTATTACTGATCCTGGATTCGTTCAGTTGGAAGAAGAAGGTACTTATGCAGAAGATGATGATGATGGGGTTAGATTTTCACGTATACATTCATCAATTCAATCTTCATCTTACATGGCTCAGGTTCGTGACAGCATAAGAGACGAACTTGTTAATTCAATACGAGGATAGTAGTCATGTCTTATTTATTTCCTTTATCATAGATTGTAATATGTAGTTAAAAACAAAACCTATTACAAATGCTTTGTATCGATGCATCATCTTAATGATTATGACACTTCTTTATTTATATTTCTCTTATTAATATTATGCCTTATATTCTCAAGCTAATTATTACTTACTTGAATAATTAATAAATTATTTTAAGACGTGTTTATTCTATTTTGCAACAAAATAATTCATCTTCTCTAAAAATATTTTTCACTCTTATATTTTATGAATATATATGTGTGGTGACAATTAATTAATTGTATTAAACATCAGAGGTTATTATACATGTAGTATGTTATTACAAAAAGTAGTTATGAAAAAATGTTATGGGATTTCACGTTTACAATCTTTAAACAAAATTAATATTTGTCTGTTATAAAAAAATCATTTTTCTATAAACATATTAATATTATGTTTTATAAATATATGTACACATATTAATTATGTATTAATTATATTATCTTATATATTATTAATTATGTTAGTAAAAATTATTTCATTAACAATTTTATTTCTTCAAATCAAAATAAATCATAAAATCTATCCATTATATAATTATCATATTAACTTATACCCTTTTGGTCATTTCCACATGTCAAAAGCACTTCTGGTAATAACTATCCAAACACTCTCACTTCTCAGAATCACTTTTTCTCAGAATCTATTCTCCACAGAATCTATTCTCCACAGAATCTATTCTCCAGAATCACTTTTCCAAACCACGGTTTGAAGTCATCCAAACACACCCTAAGGAAAGTACATATCATGTAAGCAGATCAAAAGTTTAAAATTCAAATACTATTCAAGTCCCGCCTTATACATTGTTCTTTTCTTGGGTTCAAATTTGAGTATGAATCTCAACTCATCTGGGTTTCAATATTCTACTCAAACCCTCTCCGTTATCTCTTCTCTCAGCTTTCCCTCCAAAAATTTCTTCTTCCACCACCTATTCTTCATTGATTCCTTTATCTTCTTTCTTCACAGGGTCCTTCCTCTTCCGCCAGGTGAGATGAAAGAATGTATTATGCTACGTGCCTCATGGAGTATTTTCAACTTTGAATCGCTGATCTGCAGCCTCATATCTCTCATTCTAAGTTTCAATGTTCATATTTCCTCCCCTACATCACGCCTCAACCAGCCTTCCGTCATCAATTTCTCTTCTTCTCTACTCTCTCTTCATTTTTTTACTTCTTCTTCACGGTCTCCTTTACCTTCTTCCACTTCTAATCAATGATTTCATGGTTTCTTGCAGGTCACAGCAATGGGAAGGGAGAGAAGAGAGGGAGAACTACCGTCGAAAGAGCAGAGACGGATAGCCATTGGTTCCTTTTCCATTGTCTTTATGAGAAGCCAGTAGCCGTGGGGAGTTTGAGACAGATTTGTTTATGTTTGTCAAGGTTATCATTTTTACCTTCCAACCCTCTTTCTCATGATGATTCTCAAGATCTAATTCTTTTCGTTTTTCTCAAAATTTTAATTGGACAGACTGTGGGCAGATCTCACTGTGTTTATGAACAGTCATCACAGGGGGATTTTCTATTTTTAACAGGAGGCTATTAAAGCTCTTCAATCGGTAAGCCGGCTTAGATCTATGGTTGCAATATTTTTCATTTGTTTCTCTCTCTTCTAGCCGAGTAAAATGTTGGCGGTGATTCAGTGAATAAGACTCAAGAGTAAAGTCTGAATGTGTTGGTTTGTGTAAGGGAAGAACAATGGGGGAAGAGTCCATTGCTCAACTAAGATACTTTGCTCAAGGATGAGGGTATTCATAATGTTTGATTCTTCACATTTCTATGACTTCGATTTTGTTGAAGATACATATCTATGTTTGGTATTAGAAATTATTCCCATTGATTCTAAAGCTCATTCTTGATGGCTCCATATATTAATTTCGTTGGGTTGGTTTGTCCGTATGATTTTAGCATGGTGAGGGTGTTCTGGAAAACTTAGTATGACTTATAGGGAATGTATTAGTATCATTTAACAGTAATTTGTCTATTTCCATGGGGTTTTAATAGAAACCTTTGATCTCTTTTATGGAGTTGAAGTTGTGGAGGTAAATGCTTTCTTCCAAAATGTATTTTAGTATGTACAATTTCTTTCCTTTTCATTTTATGTAGTTTTGAGTTTGTTTTTCTACTGCACTTCAGGTAAGAAACTCAATGCTTTGACCACATTTTCATAATATAAGATGTCATTGTTAAACTTGCTATTACTTTCCATCAATAATACGCTGATATCATGCAATAATACTTGGTATGTATGAAAAAGTGTTTATTTCCTTTTATTTTCAAGATTTTGGAGAAATTTTTTAAAAAATGATTGCAAAGTCTTTAACCATTTTACGGGTTTTTGGGTTCTAATGTAAACTTGTATGCAGTTTAATTGTGGATGTGAGAATTGATAAAAGGCAGTTACCTTTTGACAAATCTTCTCAGGAAATTATTTATGTTTAAATGTAAGTCTGCTCTCTTCTCTTCTTTTAGGGCTTGTGTCATGGTTTATGATTGGAATTTATGTTATTGGTGGTCAGGAAGGTGATTTTATGGCCAAACTTGGCCCACCTATCTTCAAGTGTTCATGCATACTAGAGGTAAGCTGTGGGCAAAACCCTCTGTTTTTTCCTCCCCATTTGATCTTATGGTGATAATTGGTAAACCCAGTGCATGCATTGGTTTTTTTTTTCTCTTCTCCAGAGAGAATGGATACTATACATGATTGACCTCCTTGTAATGTTTAACCATTATAAATTGCAATTAACCACATTTCCATCCATTCCCAAAGTTTGGCTCACTGATTCATTTTATACTGCTAGCTTAGGCGGTGAATACTGATTTTTACATGCTGGATGATGAGACAAAGTGGAAAGTGATGCCTCCCATGCCAAAATAGAACTCACACATTGAATTTGCTTGGGTGCTTGTGAACAATCCTATAGTTATTGTTGGAGGCACAACAGACCAAAAAGATTGTTTGAAAAGGAGAAGCAATGCAGTTTAACTTGAATACTCTGGTATTGACTGCTCTCTTATAGAGCACTTTGGAAATATATTTAGTGTCTGCGTATGTGTTAATATTTGGTTACGAATGTATATATTCCTTCATCTGTTTAGTGCTCATTTTAGTATTTTTTGGGTATCTTCATCTGGCACTAGGATCTAGCTTGCAAGGGGGAGACCAACATGCTCCGTTGTCAACTTTTGTTTAAATAAACTAGGATGTACTTATTACAGTCCCTGTTTTGTTTAAATATAGTTTTAGGACACCTGTACTTTTTTTGAGTTTATATTCTGCGGGGAGAGATAGAAACCACAGACTCTAATTGCAAGTTAGAGAGCATCATACTCTGTTGTTAGTTTTTGTTTAATTGCATTGTTTTGTCAGTTTTGCAGACGCAGTCAGTGATTGGGAAGTTAACTTACCGTGTGAAAAGCACTTTAGTTGGATTTTGGAATGGATGACTATACTTCACTTTCGGACAGCAAGACAAGGCGCCAGATGATCCCTCTCCTAAAAAGGTCATTGGAGAAATATGGAGAATAAAGTTGAAATTGACTCTTGAGCATTTGTGATTGATTATCGAATCTTTTTTCACTTTTATGCATTGTCCTGGCTGTGTAGCCTATGCTTTCTCCTAACAAAAAGGAAGTGAAGCACTTATTCTTTTTGGCATTTGAATGTTTATTTATCGGTGTATTCTCAGTTCATTTCCTTATATTTTAGTTTACTACTGTTTATCCCCAGGAAACATGAATAATTTTTTGAATATGATCTCTTGCTTATGTCCATTTGAAATGATGGTGGGTAGCAGATATATGCTTGGGTTAGGTATGTATGATTGTTATTTTAATGATTAATTTTTGAAAAGTTAAAAAGTTAATTAGTTTTTACTTATCTCAGTGATCAGATTTTCATTATTATCAAAGCTTGACAAGTTTAAAAACATTCAATTAACTCTACTCTTCAGTACAAATTCAGTCAGCTAAAGTTGTAAAGGATAGCTTGATATGTGGAGTAATAGTTTCATGATATATTTGGTTCGATGTTAAAAATGATCATAATTATAGTTTGATAGTTTTAAGTGTAAAACTAAATATGCACTTTATTCTATATGGTGGAGGTACAGACATTCATGATATTATAAAATCTGAAGTATTTACTTGTGATTTAAATTTTAAAATCTTGCTTGCAGCATGGACATGATTCCGGTTCCCCCCTCTTCCAATGCCTATCTAAGCTTCTGTCATGCATATATCATCTGCAGCTTTTTTCTTGTGTATCGAGTTGGTGGTGAAGGACTCGTAATTGATATATACAGGTTGCCCAGAAAAGCTATGCTATATCTTCCATAGGTTTGAGTAGCCATGATTTCAAAAGATGTTTCTTGTGTTTGTAGGCATTTCTGAACCCTCCTTTTTCCAACGTTGTTTGTCCATCATCTTCTCTTAGAGAAGATGCATTTTGATAATTTCTCTATTGATGATGCAGAGGCCGCATAAAAAAAATATATATTTGGTTAGAAGCTTTCCTTTCCAAGATATTTTGAAGGACTCATGCAAAATATTTCTGGGTTAGTCATTTGGTGATATGTGACTTTGTTGCCGATTTTGTTTTATATATTCTTGCCTAACCGTCTTGGAGATATAAGTTTGACTCTGCAGACAAAACACGAAGGATAAAGTCATGTGCTGTGTGCAGTTTGGAGATGCAACATTTAGGAGGAAACCGTGGGTCCATGTGTAACATAATATGAAAGATGGATATGTCCTTACTTTGCAGAAGTTCTGTAACAGAAAGCTAATTTGGAATATAAATGTCACATGAAGAATAACAATTTAGTGGTTAGTATGAATAACAACCCCATTTTACTTTTACCGTTGTGCATTTGGATTTGAGGCGGGAGGATGGACACGAAAAAAAATTAATAATCAGTTAATTGAATGTAGATTATAATTCTGAATTAATGACATATTATCAATAAAAAAATTACAGTATAAAATTAAATTAATATTCTCCTCCTTTCTTGCTTTCATATGTAACAAAATGAATCCTAATTCTTATCCAATTGTCCAACTTTCCAATGAACATATACATGATCCTGTTAATAATGCAACTAAGCCTAATAGATTTTTAGAGGACTTGCGTGGCTCAATGTCAATCAAATACATTTTGAAAAGAAATGCAAGACTAAATGTGGTGGCATATGTCCATAACAGAACACAGTGCATGCGCATTAATTCAATCAGCATTATATTTATTTATATAACAGCATAAAAGATTTTAGCTCAACTATATTTGTATATATTTTTAAATGGACAATACTTATATTAAATTACTTATATGTTATATCAAGTTATTAATCATATATGATCAGGTATCTTATTTTTGAGATATTAACATTTAATAGCATTTAATTATAAATTCAAATGAAACAAAAATAATTACATAACTTTGTTTTCTTAGAGAACTTGACATAATAAAAATAAGAGACTTGACCTAAAATTTTCCTTTTTCAAATCACCCATCACTATCCAAAGCTCCTTTCTAACAAGACAGTACCGGCTGCAGCATCGATGACCTCTCAATATGTTGAAATGTGAGTTTAAAATATATGTAACTTATGAAAGGTATGTAACTTTATAAACTTATAAAATACGGAATCCATAGTAGGTCTTATTTATTGTGATGTTTTATTGTCGAATACATTTCAATTGCATGAAATTGTAAATTGTATGCTCCCCGTGCATCGCACGGGGAAACACAATCTAGTTTAATTAAGAAATAAATTATATATCAATAAATTAATACAATTTCTATATAAATTAAATACTGATCAAAACTTTAAAAAGTTAAATAAATACTTACCGACAAATTCCACCTCATAACCAGCCTGACGTCTCGGAGCAGGACGCTGCGCAGCCTGGGGATACTCATTCCCCTGATCCTGCTCCTCCTCCTCCTCCTCGTCAGCAGCATCAGCATCAGCATGGGGTTGCTCATCCCCAGTAAAATGAGCCTCCTCAGTCCGCTCAACATCATCCTGCTCCATAAAACTGAGGATATCCTCCTCGCTGAGATCGTAGTCATGAATGCTGGGGAATGGCTCACCAGCATCATGATGAACCTCACTGGGTCCAGCTCTCTCAGGATCAACTGGGTCTTTCCCGTGTCGACGAGTCATCCTAATAACAACAAATAGTAATTATTTATAAATGAAATAAAAAGAAAAATTATTTATAAACTACAACATATAAATAAATAAATAAAACATAAAATAAAATTATTTATCAATAAATTACTATTTATTTTTACACCTGAAAATAAGGATCTGCAACTGAATCAGAACTCGAATATGTTTGTGGAGAAAATTCAGCAGAGCTTCGCTTCCAGAACGATTGAAGAAGTGAGAGTGTGGGGGAGTATATATAGACCGAGAATTCCTAGCGGTTCGGTCCAAACCGCTAGAAATTTCTAGCGGTTTTGGGCCGAACCGCTAGGAATTCCCAACGGTCACATGTGCCTCGGGAATTGGCTAGCGGTTCGGTCCAAACCGCTAGCAATTCCTAGCGGTTCGGCGCAGAACCGCTAGAATTTCTGGCGGTTCGGCGCAGAACCGCTAGAAATTCTGGCGGTTCGGCGCAGAACCGCTAGAAATTCTGGCGGTTCGGCGCAGAACCGCTAGAAATTCTGGCGGTTCGGCGCAGAACCGCTAGAAATTTCTAGCGGTTCATGCATCAACCGCTAGAATTTTCGGTGTCTAGCGGTTTATTGGCCTGAACCGCTAGAAAGTAAACGCTGCAAATTTGGCGCCAAGTTCCCGCCAAAGCCCGGGAATTTTCTAGCTCTAATTTTCTAGCAGTTAGGTGGTAACCGCTAGAAATGTGCGGGCAATGGTCAAACCGTCTGAATTTTGCAGCGGTTTTTATAGAAACCACTAGAAATATTTGGAATTTCTAGCGGTTTTGTTGAACCGCTAGAAATGTTCCGCTGCTACTTCAAGATTTTCTTGTAGTGTAAACGTGTTTAGGTATTCTTGTGGATGGCTATGAGTGGGGGCCTCCTTGCCTCTATTAAAAGAGAAACAATACTTGGTACTTCTCCAATGTGTAGGGTCTGCAATAGAGCTGAGGAAGATGTTTTGCATATCTTATGTGATTGTGATGTGGCCTCAAAGATTTGGAAGTAGTTAGTAGGGAGGAAAGCTTGGGTGAATTTTTTCTCTCTTCCTTTGCACAAGTGGTTTATACAGAATCTTCTAAGAAACGAGGGTGGTAGTGTGATTGGCACCTCAAGTTTGTTGTTTGCTATTGGTTTCTTTGGTGCTGGGGAATAATACTTTGTTTGGAGAAGAAAGATAGAGGACAGGGATCTAAATATGGTTGTGAGAAATTACGAGAAGGAAAATGCAGAAGGCTTTAAAGTGGAGGACTCAGGTAGGATGGACATCATAATTAATACTAGGTGGGACATACCAGATGAAGGATGGATCAAATTAAACATTGATGTCGCTATAGAAAAGAGAACAATGGTCATAAGTAGAGCAGGAAAATGTGTTGAGCTTGTTTACGCTTGAAAATTGTGAGGACCGAGTTTGGAATTTTTCTCTATAAATGAAAAACAGACTTAAAAAGGCTAGCCTTATAAGGCCAAGGGTTTAAATTGGCCGGCCCGTTTAGGCTTTTTTATAATTTTTTTTCAAATTTTTTTTGTAATTCTAATATTATTAAATTTTTTTTTACATTGCTAATGATATTTTGAATACTTAGTTATTATTATCATTTTGAAATTAAATTTCACAGAATGGCTTGATTTATTTGGTTTAAGACAATAGTTTTTCCAATTAAATTTTAAAACATGGGTTAATTTAGATATTAATAATGATTTGATTTATATGATATGTGTTGATATTTTTAAATTATATATATTTGATAAGAGAGTATTTTTATACTTATATAATTTGTAATCCTATAATTTGAATTAGAAATTTATGAATTTCAACAACAGTACTTCTCAAATTAAAGTAAAATAATAGTTAGACTATAAAATTTAAAAGTAAAATTTCTATAAAGAAGAAAAACTTGATTTTTTGCTACAAAATAAGAGCAATTGATTATAAGGATGATAATGTTTCAAAAAATTAATGATAGTATTTGTCTATTACACATTTGTACTATTGATGCATGGAACTTTTGAATATTGTTGTCTTATTGATGGATATTTTAGATATTTTTGGATGTTGATAGATATTTAGATATGATGATATTTTGTATTTGTGACTTTATTTTATTCATATTTATATCTTTTATTAATAATTTTATTGGTTGTTTTTATTTTTTTTGATTAAAAAAGTGAGAAATATGAGAAATATAAAAAATAATATTTTTTCTTAAACAGGCTAAAAACCCGAGGGTCGATCTGAAATCCGTTAGTTTAAGGACCAGATCTAACAAATTGGAGTATTTTTTAAATTTTAGTCTTATAGGGTTAGCCTTTTTAAACAAGGCCAGACCTGCCGATATTCCCATCTCTAGTCACAGGTTGTGGAGCGGTTTTCTAGAATCATGGGGGTCGATGGTTGGGTGGTTTCTTAAGAAGAGTAGGACGAACTTGTGTATAGGAGGCTGAGGAATGGGGCTTGTTGAGTGGGCCATGCTTTTGCAAAATATCCAAGGGACACCTGTGGTTATTGAGTCTAACTCAAAGTCCGTGATTAATAAACTCGATGGTCTTCTGAAAGGGAGGGAGGGGAATAGCAGATTGTTGAACCAACCAAGACCTTGCTTTCTGGAAGATGGGAGGTTAAACTTCGACATGTTTTAGGAGAAAGCAATGAGGCAGCAGATTGGCCAGCAAAGTAGAGCTTCCTTCAAACAAATGTCATCCAAGTATTGTTTGAGCCACTGAGGGTTTAAGCAGTTTGTTGCATAAGGACAATTCAGGCATTGCCAAGCCTAGAAGCATTCTGTTTTAGTTAGTGTTCGAGCTTTTGCCCCATTTTGTAATATTACACATCACCTTCTTAAATATTATCTCTCCTCCTCCTCTCATTTAACTATTTTTTTTCAAATTAAATATCTAACTCTTATAATAAGAACTGAGGGTGGTATTATTTTTCAGTATTTAGGACGAGAGAGTATAAGAAAGAGAATGGGTAGGAAAAAGAAGTGAGAGAAAATTGCTTGATTAATACAATAATATAACATATAATGAATGGAAGTAAAAATTAAAAAAAGTTTGTTAAAATTTCAAATATCCTTTAAAATTCATATAAGGCTAAAGTATACTTTAGATCCTTTAATTTTATATAACTTTACATAACGTTTTATTTTGGTTTTTAAATTTTAAAAAGTAAACTTTTAATCCTCTCACCCTAAAATCATTAACAGAAAAGATGATATTGAGCGCTTAAATATTAATAAAACATCACTAAATACTATAATATTAGGTTTAATTTTTAAAACAATCCTGATTGTTACAAAACAATTATCATTTAAGACTAATCATTTTAGGGTTTAAGCACTAAATATACTTTTTAAAGTTAAGGGACTAAAGTGAAACCTTACATAAAATTAAAGGATAAAAAAAATACTTTAGCCAAATTAAAGAGATTCCAACGCATCAAATCCATTACATGTTATTAAAAACTTAACAAAATCATTTCAAGCGCTCAATCGGACAACATGGCCTTAAAACAGTTTAGTCGGTACCGGTTCACCCAAAACTCGTTATTTACAAACATAGGAAAGGGTAAGGCTTCAATTGGGTAACAGTCTCAGGACATTTCCTGAAGTATTAACTCCTCCAAAGACA